TATCCTGTGTTGCATTGCATGCCTTCTAAGCTGGCCTAAATTTACATGCGCTCGATTTTGGATTCTGAGTGAACGGGCGATATGCATTCGTTAAAAAAACGACTATGATACGATTCTGGACAGTCTTTCTGCCTTTTAGTGGGGTTCAGTATGGATATGCCACTAGATTACTTTTCGTTCGCACTTGCCCTACATGGATAAAGAAACTATTTGGAAGGATTTGACATCAACCCATCTGAGGGAAGGAAAATTGGTATTTTCAAGCACGGGATGAGGGAAATAGCAAGATATGATATGTGTTAATGTTTTGCGGTTCCTGCTTTGATTTCTCGTGATACAAACGGTAAGGCGCTGTTGAACTACTCCTACCACAACACCTCAAAATTTTTTTGTTCGTGGATACATTGTCCAGATGTTATCGATGTCTGGTCACGAATAATTGAAGACATTCATTCCTGGCGCTGGCGCCATTTAGCGCTATACGCGTTGTGTTTGTTTTGTTTGTTTCAAACCTTTTCTTCCCGAAACTGATAAAAACTCGGTAATAGCCAGGCGGTTTCGGGTGGAGCGTATGTGATATTCGTGTTTAGGAGGTCGAAGTACCTCTGAAAGCAGATTGTCTTCCAAATCTGACCTTGGACAAAAGGTCGCTAAAGACCGGTGTGATTCGGGAGATTGTGTAGAAACAGTTCAATATGCCAAAGTTATTTACCCGCCCATTTCCATTTGGTTTTTTCCAGGGGTTAATCTAGATCCATACTAAGCAACAGGACATAAACAGCTCAACGCCTTAGCGACCGAGTACGTATTCTAGCCTAAGGTCACTGAATGAAGCAATCAAAAATGATCGAAGTTTTAGAATGGATCCTGGGCTATTCAGGATCCATTCTAAAACTCCGCATATTCTAAGGCTTAAACTTCTAACATAACACTTCCTTAGCTAGTCTCGTGGAAAACTGCCTTCATATCCGGCACTGAAACCTACAAAAGATTTTGTTCAAGTTGATAAACTTCTCACTATCCAAGAAACGTATATCAACCACCCTAAATTCAGAAGAAGGCGCACGCGAAATTAGGCCAGTTGAAAATTCTGGATAGCAATGGCGAGAGTAAACGGTAGGCTGGTCTGCAACTGAAGCGGCTACTGTAGTCTTTTCGAAAAAATTCCGGGTTTTTGAAGCGTTGATTAGTTTGCGAGATATTTAATTCAGAGGAAGTCTACTAAAGGACGCCATTTTGTCGTTTTTTAGGGTAACAACCGGGTTATTCCGTTGAATCGCCTAAAGTCGTGTAAAAGCTGAGAAAAGTAGTGGCGAGGTTTATATTCCCGTCATGTTCTCGATTTTTTGTTTTTGGAGCAGGCCATCGAGGCTGCGTTTCATACTTCGCGATACGCGCGTCAACGCGAAGCTATGAACGCAGCCTGCGAAGTCTGAACGCTGCCCAAGCGCCCGGGCGGGTGTAAAGAAGTAGTCTAACTAGGGATAAGGATTTCTGTGTAATTCTGGGGAGGATAGAGTTCGTGAGGTGCTGATCCAAAATAGCCTTGTGCTAGAAGTGGTTTTCTCAACCCACGAGTGTGGCTGAACCGTCTCGGGGCTTTGACAGTACTTCGAAGTGGTTCAGAATGTTTATGATCCGATTTCACAAGGTTGTTAGGTACATTTTTTTTCAGTGTGGCGTTGACACCTTAGGCTGCTTTCTTACTTGGTGGCTGCGGAATTCGGCGCATTGAGAGATTGCGCTACGAGAAAAATATAGGTCTCCATCTGGTTGACTGTGGAGATTGTTTGAACCAGCGATTCAAGAGACTTGGCGATACAGCGTTGCAGCTAGTCGCCGGATCGCCGCACCTCCGCAATCGCAAGCGATCGGCACCGATCAGTACCGACCACTTTTGGAGTGCAGATGCCGGAACCGCTGAGTCTCTTCAAATCGGCACTATTAGTGTTGCATCGACTTGTGTTATGGGTCGATATATATATATATATATATATATATATATATATATATATATATATATATATATATATATATATATATATATATATATATATATATATATATATATATATATATATATATATATATATATATATATATATATATATATATATATATATATATATATATATATATATATATAACGCCACAGCTCGTGTCATGATGCCAATAATTAGCATAGTTGTAGGGTACAGAATGGTTGCAATGAAGCCGGTTGCGAAAAACTCAAAATCCGTGAAAGGTACGAAGAAGACCATCAGAAAAAAGAAGGTTCATCTCAAATTCAACATTGAATGCAAGAATCCCGCTGAAGATGGAATCTTCAATACCGAAGACTGCCCCCCCGTTGTAACGCTGAACATGTTTCTGTTCTTCTCAAAAGTCGATAGAGTTTCCGTCTCTATCGCACTATTGGGCTTAGGGTATCATTGGTCCCTAATAAGTCCCAATATTCTACTTTAGGAGACTTTCCTGAACGAGAAGATAAAAGTGGGAGGAAAATGCGGTCAACTCGCCAATTCCGGAGTCAAGGTTGAGGTCAACAAGACCAAAGTCTCCATCATTGCTGATGTACCATTTTCAAAGCGGTAAGAGTTATTTTCTTAATGGAGTTGATCGGTGGCACTCAAAAGTGTTTTTTTTTTCAGCTACCTCAAGTACCTCACCAAAAAGTACCTGAAGAAGCACTCTCTTCGTGACTGGCTCCGTATTGTCGCCATTAACAAGAACACATATGCGTTGAGATACTTCCACATCAACCAAGATGAGGACGAGGGCAGCGATAATGAGTAAATGCTGTTATTGTTATCCAATAAATTGTTATGGTTTTAATTGATGTTTACACAAGGAACCAGAAAGTTTCAAAATTAAAAATGGTCTTCATGGATAGCGGCCATGTCGCACTAGACAGCTGGAAGTAGCGTGCCTGGTTTGAGCATTGTATCGAGAAGTAGAAAATCTGACATCTGACATCTTAGATTTATTATTTTTAGATTTTTCATCAAGTCTTACATCTGATGATATCACTACTAATAAGGGGACAGGGATGAGTTGTGCTCGAACTACAGAGAGCCTGATACCTTTGTCCCATTTATCACATCGTCTTTGTAAGCGGTCTAGCAGATGTTCGTTTTCCCATATAAACTTGTGGCTTTCAGCTCATTAGTTGTTGTCAGGCTGCGTTCATACTCTGCGTCAGCATCTGTCGGCGTCCACCGGCGTTTCGAGCGTACAAAAGTCCAGCCATTAGGAAAGTATAGGTATCGATCAACAAAATGCAAGCATACCGCAGCCTTTTTACGGGCAGTTTCGCTCAAGTTCAACAGTGCCCGCGGAAAGGCTGGTGGACGCTAGCGTTTCTAGATCGATACCTGTACTTCCCTAGTCCTCGAGACGTTGGTGGACGCAGACGCAGAGTATGAACGCAGCATCACTTCCAGTTACCCACCATGTGTATTTCGCCGTATATCCCTTTTGAGACCAATGTCTCACCTGTTGATGAGACGCACAATTCCAGTTTGGTGTCCTACCCTTCGATTCCCTAATTAGATCTTATCAGTTATCACATTTCCGGTCACCTACCGATAGTGTTCTCAAAAAAGACACTTCGGCCCAGTCACAGTGGAGAATATCCTGGCCTCATGTCATCGCCTGTACCTTCTTGGAGACTTCGTACTGCTACAGGATTGGGTGCCTCCACACGGAATCGAAGGGCGTTGGAAAACTCTCGCCTACTTGGAATGGAAGGGCGTTGAGTACCTGAAGAAGACGGAATATCTAAGTGTGTCACCTGACCTAAACCCCTCAATTACCCGGTTCGGGCGGAGCTCAACAGGGTGGTCTACAGTGGCGGAGAAATCAACGATCTCGCTGAACTCAGGCACCGAATCACGGTCGCGTGGCAGAATCTCTCGATGGCGCTCGTCCAGAAGGCTGTGGCGGAGCATCATGATAATGTCCCATCAGAATTTAATTAAGTGTAACTTATAGCGCCTCTGAAAGTCAAGGAAGAAAAGTGACTTTTTTTTGCCCCCCCCTGTATATGTAAGAATGATTAAATTGAAATAGGATTGTTGAAGAAACTTTGAAGCTCTATTGAAAGAACCATTCCTGCTTTCCACGGAAATCACGTTCGTAATAAGCTTCCGAAGGTGCGCGAGAATATAGTCTTTGTCAGTGCATGCGCTGGGAGGTGCCAGGAGGATGGATTTGCTTCAAAAATTGGTGGAGAACGGAGTGGAGTCTCGCCAAACCCGGCCTCCTGACACGCCCAGCATTCGCAGAGAAAACGACTGGAAATTGCATTACAAGAGACCATTTCTACTCAGTATTCTTCCCTGGTCAGAAGAGCAGTTGTATCAGTGCGTTATCACTTGTTGACATAAAAACACGGTACTCTGTGATGCGGTGGTACGGTTCATTGCAACCGTGCACTACTCGACGTCCACTTGAGTTTATCCTGATGGAGGCGGTATGTGGTAATGTTGAAGTTTCAGTTTCAGCGCGATCTATGGTGCTGTTATATGAGCGGTAGTGTGTAGTTGCCTCGACGCTATGTGCCTCGGGAGGGCCCTGCCTTTTAGGGGGATAGCTATGTCATCCGCCAAAGATTGCGGGTTGCTGTAGTGCTGACGTAAAACTGCCTGCTGGCCCTTCCCGAGGCATATAGCGCCTGCGTCTTGTGGGTGGGATTACCTCGTGGGCGGTGCTTCCTTGCGCACGGTTGCTCTGAGTGGGTGGTTGTCGCCAACGTCATTGGTGGAAGGGCTGAAAGGGGTGTGGCCAGACGCCTTCTCCCGGCCGTTCTACCAATGACGCTGAGAACAACCCGCCTTCAGTAAACGGCAACCCTGGCACTTTTGAAAGTTTTCCATTGCAGGATGTACGTGCCCAAGAGCGGCAAGTGGATGCCACTCCAATTGCTGAAAACGTAGGCACGTGAGTGATTGCATTTCAGTAAACGATGAAGTACCGTGAGAATGCTGATGTAAGCAAAGTACCAGGGTCACCCAACCAACTGGCCTCTCACTCTTTTCCATGTAGAAACGCGGACTTTTCGCTCTGCGAATACTGTATTCAACGGGCTGACAGCATTCATCCTCACACTTGAACAATTAGTCGCGGAATTTGGCAGCAAGCGATTGAGATCACTCGCGTCTCCGCTAATCGTTGAACTGCTGCAACGATTAAACGAAATTCTCTATCTTGGGTGAAATAGCACATGCAGCGGTCCAACATGAACGGGTCGGAGTCGCCAGAAATGAATTGATAAGTTAGATACAGAGAGTATGCCAGTATTCCATAGACTTGTGCGTGAAATCAACGGCAGGGCACAGTCATTGCTGCGGGATTTTTTGGACGAGTCGGTACGCACCCCCCAGGGCACAGCATTCGATGGGGATTTTGGTCGAGCCTGTACGACCCCCCCTTTTTTGGGGGGTTCCGGTACGACCCCCCCCCTTTTTTTTGCCGTTCGGTTTTTTTCGCTAAATGATAACTATGCAAAAGCGCCATCATCCTCTTGTATGAGGCTGCCCATACTAAATGACATTGAAGTCAATGACATAACTAGAAATACAAGAAATATTGTAAAAAAAAACGGTACATGTATATTATAGAAACTCGCTATGATGAACTTTTCAGTGCGTTTTGAAACACACATGGTAATAATAACGATGTATCGCGATTAAATTCAATGAGCATTCGTTAACCTGAGGTGGACTCCCTCTCTGGGAGCGGCCACAGTGTTAACAACGTCTATTCCCAAGATTGAGGACGAGGAAAAGAGAAAGTTAGGCTTGTCTCACTACGTAACAGTTATACAAACCGCCGTAAAAATGCATTACCCCGATTATTGGAGTACGGTAGCAGAAGCGCATGTAATTGCAGATGTGACCGCAGATCGTTCGGCAATTTTAGCCATGGAGCGAGAATTTTCAGCAAAGTAGGGTGTTGAAGGCGATCCATAACTTCCTCAAAAGCGGACCTGTGGGGAAGAGGAGACCGTATTCGTGTAGAGGAAGGATTGCACTTCCTAAATGTACTGAAACGTTTATGAAGGTCGCAAAAATCACAGAGAAATCTGCCCATAGGGATTCCATGGGGAGTGAAGGGTTGAAGTTTAAGTTGAACAGGTTTGAACCAATATATTTTTTTTGTAACTCAACATTTCACAAATCTGAGAACGGATCCGAGTGTTAAGATTTTTCTCTTTTTTAAAAACCTCTTGAACTGTTTCTGAAGCTCTCGGGATTCATGAGATCTCGCTATGGGATTTCTTGAGGAACACTCCCAGCTGCGCGAAAAACCCGTTTCCTGTGTACCGTTTCAAGTGAGCGTGTTCGAATAGCCAGGAACGCATGTAGAACGTATCCTGTGGTGGAGCAGGAGCAGGATATGGTTCGTTTAGCGCCGATCACGTCAACTTTGGATGCGCCGCGCACTGAGGGCCGCGCAGAGGTGATGGGATGGGATGGTGCAACTTGTGCGTAATGTCTGTTCACGCGAGCAAATGTGTCTATAAGGTTCAGGGAGGTCCATGGCGAGCCTGTGCACTTGTTTACAGTGTTTTCCGTTGCCGTATG